AGGAGGAGGAAGAGGACTGGAGGAGATGGGGGATTTGGGGATTTTAGGGAAAAATGGAGGGAAAGTAATAAGGGTATGTTTGGGAGGGACGATGAAAAGGTTTTCTAATATAGTAGTCGCTTGTAAGCCCGTGCGATGTACGAGACAATATTTATAAATAGCATGTATCAAAACAATGAAAGAAAGTACCATTCGGAGCCTCATTGGTCGGGAGTGGAGTGTTAAACTCCAACATGTTCATAGAGAAGCTAATTTTACGGCAGATCACCTGACTGAGTGTTGCAGCGTTATCCTCTGTTGGGCTGCACCGGATTTCGTTTCCCCCCTCTGGCTTGGGAGCTTGGCTACACCATGATCTTGCGGGGATCTCATACCCCCGTCGCATTCTAGCGTAATCATTTCCTAAGGCTGTGGCTTTCTTTCATTGTACCAAAAAAAAAAGAATATTGATTATTATAAAAGTTTTTTTAAATATTAATGTTAATTATTTTATTTTATGACATAATATAATGTAGTATATTGTTTATATATTTATTTCATTCATTATAAAATAATTTTTATTTTAGAGTCCTTGTTTGTAATTAAGGATAATGAAAATTTAACATATTAAATTATTATCTATGAATAATACTCACATAATTTTATCTCACTCAATCTTCCCTTATTCATACCTTTTACAATATATTATTTTAAATTTAATAAATTATGCTAAAGTTGAAAAATTGTGCAAATATTATAAGCAACACTTAATTAAAAAAATAACGTAATATATATTATTTTGAAGTTAAAAAATTATTAGTTTTTAATTATGTCAATATTATTTTATTTTTCTTGTAATTATAATAATGTACATCACAATGGTTTTAAATTTTAGTCTAATCTAGTCATTTATATGAGTTTTTTTATGATATTGTGAATCACAATATGAACTTTTAAAAAAATTGATTTGGTGCAATTATTAATAAAATCAAAGAATATCTTTTGAAATCTTTGAATAGATGATTTTATAGTATTGGCTCGTTAATTACCAAATGAATAAAAAGTCGGAGGGATTTGTTATTATTGTTTAGATATCAATACTATTGTAATATTGTTGTAGTAATATTAATAATATTTTTGCAATTGATTTTTAAATTTATTTTGTACTTATAACTTGCAATGTTCTTATGCATATTTAGGTCTACATATGGCTATATGCCAAAACAATCGGAGAACGCATGATTTGTTATTAATGATAAATATTGTTTTATTACTGATGAATAATAGTTAAATTTCTTTTGATAGTAGAAAATTGCGTTTGCAATTTTTTAAAAAACTGAATTGGTTGAGTTATTGATAAATGAAAGGATTCTAAAATGATCGTCTTGATTAAAAATAATTTTTTAAAGATATGATAAAAATATTTTCGTAATGACTGGTTACCAAATGAATAAGAAATTAGTGTAATTTGTTATTAATGTTGATAACTAACATTTTATTGTAACATTGTAATAAGTATCCTATATAATATTTTTTTTTATAATTTATTTCAATTTTTATTTTGTAATTATATTAACATTTTTTACCTACATATTCAAGTAATATTCCAAAGAGTATTTTTTTATAAACTAAACCTATTTCTTATAAACTTTGTTAAAGACATGTTGTATGGTTGGTTACCAAAACAATAATAAAAAATTGCACTGATTTGGAAATAATATGAAGAATCGGTTTTTATTGTGATAATTATCACAAAATAATTTTCAAAATTGATACCGTTTTATTTATACAGAAAGTCGTGGTATTAACCGAATTTCACAATTTTACAACGTGTATGTATACTTTGATTTTAATTTTTTCTAAATATTAAAGTAGTTTTTACTATATTTCCTTTAATATTAAGTCAACCTATTTAATTATAAAATCAAAGTTACTATTTCAGAGTATTCCTATTTATAGATATAAATATAGATTGGTGTAAACACAATATTGCAATATAATTTTGTTAATTGATTATAAATTTAAAAGAGAAATAGAAAATTTGCGATATAAAAATTTATCGATTAATTATACAAACTCTCGACCACTATTAAAATGATATGGTTGTGTATTTCCAAACAAACTCCTAAATATATGGTTTGAAATTTTCAAAACAGATTCTTTTTTTTTTTTTTTCGAAACGATAACATTATATAAAACTCAAAACATGTTAGACCATAAATAATTTAAAATTTTCTAATCAATTTTATCAAAGACGTGAAAAAGGGATCGCATGCAAAATCTAAAATTCAAATCGAATTTCATTGTAACATTAAAAATTTCTTAAGCAAGTGATCCTCCATAGCTAATGCAAAATTTATTTTTTCAACAGCATTTCTATAATTAGTAAGTCAAACATTTGACACATTTTTTTTTTTTTAACTTTTCACAAATAATTTTTTCATCGACCTTTTTTAATATATATAGATATAGATAGATGCAATTTAAAATCCCTTATGATTTATTATTTATAACAATGGTTAGAAAGAGTGTTTAAAGTATAGTGAGATTTATAAATAAATCACAATTAAGTAGGTGGCAAAGTGTTATGATTTTAGGTCGGCTTAATGTAGGAAGCAATTTTGCTATGAATATTGTAGGCTCATTAAGTGGAGTCAACCTTCAAAAGCCGATGAGATTATGGAAGTTAATATTCTTGCATTTATTGCTACTGCACTATTTATTCTAGTTCCTACTGCTTTTCTACTTATCATTTACGTAAAAACAGTCAGTCAAAATAATTAATTCAAAAATTCAATTGAATGAAACTTTCCTTCTGAGTTCTTATCAAAAATTGACGAAGTCAAATGAAAAGGATTCCAATTTCACGCCTTAACTTAAATAAATATTAATGATCTAGCCGATCAGAAATCAAAATTTTGATGCACATCAAATAATAAATACCAATTAAAAAAAAAAAATTGACTCATAGGAAAAATGTGTTTTGAAGAGTTTTTTATATTGAATTGATTT